AGCCACAAAACGACTACGCGGGGTCGGGCGAGCCGAGGGGCTTAAGTACCCGGCCGTGGGGTGGAGGTCGTTGTTTAAGGTACGAACATAATCAATCTAAAGCAAGACCACGAATTCCATACGAATGTAATTTTGAGTGTAAAATGTTATGATCAATGACGTCAAAAGCTTTTGAAAGATATAAAAATATTCCTATGGATCTTTCAAAAGCTTTTGACATCATTGGTCATAACATAGTACTCTCAAAATTACCGTCGTATGGAATTTCTACACTTTGAATAATTCTATTGTGTAATTTTTACTTTCTCGCTATTTTCTCACTTCTTTCTGGGTTTGTAATGCTATGGGGTATGTAATATTGTAATTCTGTGGGAAAACCCGTGAATTTAGAACAAAAACTTTTATTGCTGGGCCCTAATAAAGAAAATGTGGATTAATCTTCCTCTAACAAGTTGTGTAGTCAGAATCCATGTTTTGTTGGTCCTCGGTACCGAAAAATCTATCAAGGACAAGACGCCTGTCTATCCGTCCGTGGTCAACGCCTTAAACGTTCAACCAATTTTCTCCGTATTTCACCACCCAATCAATGTGGTTGATGTCGCGGCTCCTTAAATTTGGAATCGGTATTTTAATTTTGGGAGAACATTACATGAAACCTCTAGGACATTTTCGAAATTTTGAAGGATAAAAATGAGGTCAATTTGATTAAATTTTGTCGTCGGGTAGCGTAAAGGACGATTAAGAGACTAATACATGTCTGGATTTCCTTTAAATCCCTCATGAAAACCCCGTAGAAACAAGAAAAAGTTGTTCGCAGGAGCGGATTAACACTTTGTATGTATGAAGATCTATACACTTTTGCATGCGTTTGAACCAATTATCGAAGCACTTTTGCCACTCTGATTGAGGTATCTCCAAAGCATGCTTTCTGAATGCAGCTACCGCTTCTTCAGGTGTCGATAAACGTTGACCTCTGTTTGTTTTTTACGTACGGGAATAAAAAGAAGTCATTCGGTGCCAAGTCAGGAGTATACGGTAAGACTTATCAAATCGATGTTTTGTGTGCTCAAAAATGCAGTTGTTTGAGCTGATGTGTGAGAGCTCTCATTGTCGTGGTGAAGAGTGATCCGGCGGCGGCGGTTGGTTTTCCTGATTTCTTGGAAGACAGCTGGCAAACAAATCGTTGTGTACCACTCAGAATTGACTGTTCTGCGTTGTTCTAGTGGTACGGTTGCGACACGTCCAGTTTTTTCGAAAAATCAGGCGACCATCTGTTTGGAAATGCTTCGTACGCGAACTTTTGTTGGATTTTGCTCATCTTGAATCACCCATACAGTCGACTGCTGTTTACTTTCGGGCTCATACGCGTAAATCCACGATGTCATAGACGTGTTTCGAAGCACCTCGATCGTATTTTTTGAGCATTTCTTTCGACCAATCGACACGAGCCTTTTTTTTGAGCGATTGACAAATTGTGTGGGATCCAACGCGAACAATCTTTTTTGACAGTCAAATGTTCATGCAATATTGAATTATGTTGGTCCCACTAATGCCTAAGGTTGTCTTAATCTCACGATAGATCACATGACGATCTTGCAATATCAGTTCACGCACATCATCAATGGTTTTCGGAGCAACAACAGATTTTGAACGCCCTTCGAAAAATTCGTCTTGGAGTGAACTACGACTACGATTGAATTCACCATACCATCGATAAACACTGGTCCTTCATCGCCAAAAATTTAATTAAGTTCATTCATGCACTGTTGCTGAGTCGAAAGTTGTAAAAAATAATCGCACGAAAATGTTCACGATTTAACCTTTTTTTTCGGGCCAAGATGAATGTTTTAAGTTCCTGTAAACTTCACAAATAGAGGTCGTATGTCAAAACATTCTGAGTACGTATAACCTCAAAACATCCAACTTTACGATAGAGCTGTCAGTTGCCAGATTGCAACAGCAGGGTTGCCAAATCCCGAAACATAAAAGGCAACTTTCGTATTAGGCTGTATCGAAAAAAAGTTGAATTCGATGGCTTAGCGAAAAAAGTTATCGATGCAAGAACAACTTTGGCACCAATAAAACAGCTGTTAAATTCCCTTTAATCCGTTTGCCATAAACACCAGTTTTCGGCCTTTTTCGTTTCTTTAGAAAATAACGAATAAATATTATTTTGTTATTTTTATTACCGTATTTTGGACTGAGGTGGTGCACGTTATCCCACAACAATTTTATGATCATCAAACATTACTTATTTGACTCTGTGTACCACATTAGTCTGAATGTGAACAATTTTACGTTAAAGCCATAGAAATAGACACTTTAAAATGGTCATAGCTCTGTACATTTTTATTCAGAATTCTTTTAATTTAGATAAGATTAAAGCTTGAAATTTCTGCTTTAAGAACTTTGCTTCGCACAATTAACTATTTCAATGCAATCGGCGAAAATTTGTCGCCGTGCGCCATCTCTATTATGCTGCACTGAACATATTTTTAGAGAGATCAAACGGGTTTGGAAATAACTAGACTTTAAATCACTGTATGGCATTTGGAAGCTAATGAGCTATTTTTTCTCGTTTCGGTGCTGCTTTCGCGCTCTCTGACCTTTCAACAAACAAAAGTGCTATTCCTTCCGCAATCAAAAGTTATACTCCTTCCAAAAGCCCGCAAACAAAAGTGCTACTCTTTTGACAAGTGACTTTGTGAGATCCTCCTCGCGCTTGAGTTTCCGCACCAAATAATCTCGTTCAGGGAACTGTTACCAGAGTGTTTAATAAACGCCAAGAAAGAGTTCGCATCATATCCAGTACAAAATTGAAATTCACAAAGACGCAGAAGTCAAAATTATTACGTGGAGTGTTTACCATAGTATGTGTCGTCTGTACACATAGTGTACGCCAGACCTGAAGTGAATAGAATAATTTAACTTCATAAACACAATTTAATACTATTTTAAACATCGTTCTTATGTTTGTAACATTAAAGAAAACAGTATTTCATATAAATTGAAGTAACAATTAAGATCAACAATTAGATTGAAAAATTGATGTTTTTATAACTCTGCGGTGCAATGTGCTAGTACATTTTTTGGTTGTGTGATGTTTACGCATGAAAATGTGAATAAATTAACTGAGGTCGTGAAATGCAGAAGAAATTTAGAATATGCCGTGATTTAAAATCTAGTAACTTTCAAAACGGTTCATGCAGCCTAATAATGAATAAAGAAATCAGTCTCGGCGAGCGGCAACTTCAAAATCTTACATGGGAACCCCCAATTTTTATTGCACTTTCTACTTCTACACTAAAAAATACATACATTTTGTCTAACACAGATTTTGTGATTCGTGAGAGATGGCGCCGTAATCTCAAAAATAAGATTTTTGCATTTATCGAGAAATTACACTTTGGATTGAAAAATAAAGAACCACCTGCTCCATAATGTTTAAAAGTTCTTAAATGATAACAGTTAATCCCCGACCCACCCTCAGGGATTGGAGTTGGGGTTTAATCACGAACGGGAACACCCATTTTGTTAATTGGAAAATTAGATTTAACATAGAGTTGTTTTTTTTATTCTTGATAAGTTAGCACTGAAACTTTTTCAACAAACTACTTTTAGCTTCACCCAAGAACAACGATGTGGACGTAGTAGTTTTCTGTTCCCCTCGGGGTGCTTGCTTTAGGTGAGTTCCCTCGCCTTTCACCATTGGAGTGCACGATTTTAAATAAAATTTCACTAACCAATTAGGAATAAAAATTCCCTACACGTTAAATCTAATTCTGTAATGGACTAAATGAGGGTTTGCGTTTGAAATTTGACAGTTAACCCCACCCCCATCCCTGGCGCAGCGGTGTTACCATTAGATTGTTGTTGTTTTTTTAATTATTGAGCAGGTGTTTCTTTATTTTTCAATCCAATGTGTAATTTCTCGACAATTGCAAAAATTGTGCCATCTATCACGAATCACAAAAAAAGTTTTAGACAAATCTTCTAATATGCAATAAAAAGTTTTAGACAAGAATTCTAATATGCAATAAAAATTGTGGTTTAAGATTTCAAAGTTGCCCTTGGCCCAACCGCCAGGGCGTGGGGGCGAGGTTTGATTTTAAGTCACGAGATATCCCCCTTGGAGATTCTCATTTTTTGTCTAAGACATTATGTGTACCTTGCGTATTTTTCGAGGTATTTCGAATTGTCAAGTAAATGGAACTCTATATAACTTACATATAATTGTGTGTGTATATATACATTTGTATATGTTGTGGAAAACGCTGCAATTGTACTTTCGTCCTCGTGCATCTTCATGGCATTGTGTTTTGTTTTTCAGGAAGTCTACTGTGGCAAAGAAACTATATGCACAGTTGATGGGCTGCATTTCAATGCTATGTATAATGCTAGAGTAAAAGCATTCAACAGTTCTGGTGAAGGGGAATACAGTGACCTAATCGGGTTACAGACGGCAGAAGGTAAGTTCTTTTCTATTTCGCCAGTCTGGACAGGGACAGGAAGGGTTGATAAGGAGACTCCTCGCCCGGGGAAGGAAGTAAAATGCCAATGGTTAAATGAGTATCTTTACTATGTCAAAATACGATATTATTTTCCAAAGAAATTAACCTGAGAAGGTGACTTTTATGGAAACAGACTGGTTTTAGAACTTGCCAGCTGATTTATTCAAACAGAATCCATGTTGAATTAAACTGTATTTGGCCCTTATTTTAAATACAAATTATTATAAAATAACTGTTTTATATCAATATATTACATGTGACACATAATAGTAACAGCAACGTTTCGGAAATTAATTCAACTTTAGGCGTTATGTTAAAAACAAATTACGTAATAAACAAATAATTATTTGTTTTTGACATTGTGTGAAGAGTTAATTAATTACCGAAACCTTGCTGTTACGATTATGTATCACATGTATATTGACATAAAACAGTAATTTTATAATAATTTTCCGTCTTTGTAATAAGGGCCAAATACAGTCTAGCGAATTTAAAAAAAATAACATAGACAGAACAGTAAATAATAATAATAATAATAATAATAATAATAATAATAATAATAATAATAATAATAATAATGTTAGAATTCATGACGCCATTTCGATCAAGTAATCTCACGATTTACTAACGCTCAATGAGAGTGACCGAACTATTTTGCTCTACTAATGACTGTAGAAGTAGTACAACGTAATGCCGTCCTACACAGGGGCAGTGCACTAAAAACACGCGTTTATTCGCACTGTGAAGGTAACACGTTCAAAAAAGCTTTGGACCGAAATGTTAAAAATCAGTACATTATTTACACCTTTTCTGACGATGACAGCATGAACCAATATTGGTGAAAGGCCGAAGCATGGAGCTATGAACACATGGAGGTGGCATTACAAATCTCTGCCTTATTCCTTAAGTGAAGCCAGTACGCCATATTGGTGTACCCAAAACACGTCTGTCAAACAATATATAATAAATGTGTAGTACACATTTTTTCAATGCATTGTAATAATCGTTGGAATATTGAAAGGTATTATAACTAAAACTGAGAAGCTTCTTTACAAATTGTGGGGTCACTGTGAAGTAAAATACTGAAAATCAGTGCGTGAAAACCAAAATAACCTTTAACTTGAACCGTTATGAATTCATTTCTAAAAGTCCTTCTTCTGACTTGGAGATTTCTCACAAAAGGTACGCAAATGAATAAAATCTGAACACTGCTAACATTCTGTTGGGGCATGTGATGCACAAATTATTACCAAATAATGGTAGAATTAGTGTTGTCACAATATTCAAAGTCTGGCTACCATACGAAGTATGTGATTAAAAAAGTCCATTGTCTGACCGTACTGTTCTATTTTTATTTCACATTTTCATTCATAAACATTAAGTACTCTCACCTGAAGTCGAAAGATCTGCTCCTAAAGTTTGTAGTTTGAAGATGGGCCAGTAATACAATTTATGTCAACTTTGTGCAAAACTTTCGCTTTTCTTTGTAGAAGTCGTCAAAACTATAATGTTAGTTATCCTTTTGAAGACACTTCAAGTGAATAATTGTCCCTGCACAATTTATGTCTCTTATGTTTGGTAGAAAAGCTGCTAAAACTGTTGGAACAGCGAGATTACACAACCGTCGCATCGTAAAGAAGTTCTATCAAACTTCTGTTCTTGAAAATGAACCGAGCATAACTTGCTATATGTTCTAGGCTGCCAGTTATCTATTCGCAAAACTCTAATCCACAGTGCTCTCCTCTTTGCTAAGAAGAAAAAATCACGGAAATTAACTAACATCTTGAAATTTTACTATGTCCTCCAAACCATATAAAGTAGCTCCTTATGTGAGAAAACGAATTCACGCCTTCCCCGAATGGTTTCTGCAGACGTAAGCCGCACAGGTAACCATGACGATTTGTTACGAACGCTTGTTAATCCGATCAAAACTTTAAATATTAAAAATATGACAAATAAAACAATTCAACATGAGGGCAACAACATGTGTTTTGGGAGCCGCAATATGGTGGATCGTTGCTTCAAGTTAATGACGTCATGCCATCTGTATTCCTATCTCCATGACCTGAAGTATGGGGGGGGGCAGTAGTTCCGTGAGGCCCTACTAGAGGTTACAGATTTATTCAATTTGTTGATCGGAGACCATTTTAATCATTATGTAAGAATAAAATATGTGGTTCAGAAGTTTCTAAACGATAAACGTGACTGCTTTGAATGCTAAGAGATTTTGAACTGTTCCCCGAAATCAAAATGGTGGATGGTCAAACTTAACTCATAACTCCATGTTTTTGAGTTTTGAATGCCCTCAAACTGTTGTGGTACTGGATAGTATATGTGAGTAGACTGCGATACTGTTATATAGCTCACGCATTTGATGGGTTTGATTTATTTAGTCAAAGGACAATAGAAACTGTGATGAATGGGGAAGAAGCACCATCTGCACATTTTTTCTTGAGTTCCAGAATCTCCTCGCAACATTTTAACTATAGATAGTTGAACAATGAAAACAAAATTTAAAAAGCGAGGTTAGCAACATTTGAAAACCGTATATTTACGTTCGTTATCGATAACTTACTTTTCTAACCTAATTTTCTTACTAGCAATGGATACATTGTAAAAAGAGGATTATAATGATGTACCGTGCTCGGAAGTTAAAGTTTTAATAGTAATTTGAGTATAAAATTTTACTTCCTGACATGAGATTTTTATATTAAACGGACACTATTTCTTGTAGAAGCTCTTGCAATTGTTGCCTTTGGGGAAAGTAGCCTTCGTAGCGCCAAGACTGTAATGGGGAGACGGGAGTTTGATAGCATCTTTTTCAACCCCGAAGCTATTAGGTTTCGAGGGCTAGGGACACTTTCCTTCTTAGCGTTTATTAGGTAAGACTTTGAACTGGGAGAGGAGCCTCGATAGTTGTGGAAAAGACAATCCCTCTAGGGCACGGGAAGCCCGATAACAAAACGTCTGGCTCTCCAGTTTGAGGGTGTGCGCACTGGGCTTACTCCCTAATACCAGTAAAACATTTCAAAAACAAAACGTCCCAATACTCATACTCGAATAAGTGAGTTATTAAAACGAAATCGTGTGGGGAAAAAGGACTCTGACTTTTGGCTTCATGGAATATGTAGGGCTTAAATTCTAGAGTAGTTTTTATTCAATTGGCGAAGTTTAAAATTGAAATTGCTGTTCTCTCTGAAATTAAGAAAAAGGGTCAAGGAAATGAAATTAAAGGACACTTCTTTCATTTCTATAGTGGAGTATCTAAAGATCAAAGAGCAAAGTCAGACATCTCAATAGCAATAAAATATAGCGGAAAAGGAAAGTTAAAAACTGGGAAGTAACAAGTGAAAGAATTATGAAGTCGGAATTGGAAATAATGGGGTGTGCTATGGCAGGCCTGCACAGCATGTTACACTTTCACTGTCTTCCGGAGCCGCGCGCGAGCAACTCGAATACAATGTGCGCAAGGAGGAAGCGTGGGGATGAGACTCATTCGAGGCGTAAAGCAGGGAGTAAATTAAAAGATCAATCTGCAGATACTTTTAGACAATCATATTTATTTATTACACATTTTCTTGTGCATTGTAGTTTTCGTAACGTTGCGGCTACACCTTACAGCCATCTTCAGTTATCTGGTTTAAAAAAATGCACAATTAAAAAAAGGATTACAATGCAGTTATATACCTAAATTATTATGGTTGTATCGTTTGGATTACAGTTTTTTATTATAAAAGTTGATAGAAGCTACCTGTTTAAAAAAAATTGAGATGAAATGTAATTATAACTATTCTCTTCATACATCTGAATGTATGAAATTTGAACAAGAACTGTTTAATGTATGTGACAGGCATTCGTAAAAAGAAGAAGTATTATAATAGCTTGTAGGGATGAATTCGCGTAACAACAATGTAATCACAACTTGAGTGTCGTGTCAAACACAAAATTGTAATATTGAATCGCCATTGTTTGATGATGACAGTAAGAAACTATTTTTAATTGTTTAATTGAGTAAGAAGGTTCTATCAAAACAAAAATTCTTATTTTAAAAAATTATGAATATTTTCTGCTTTAATTTCTGACACAGTACATTATATATTCATAACAAATCAACGAACACTATTCATAATAGTTTACGACATCTTTTCAAAACATTAAACCCTTTGCATTCTATTTACCAAAACCCATTATAGTCTCTTGCCCGTAACATCGTCAGAGACCTTTGCTCGTTGATATCTCGTATTCACATCCATAAAGGAAGAAACGGTCACAATATCACCAAAACAGCCATCTTTTTTTTCTTAAAGATGCCGCCTTATCCATGGATCAAAACGAAGCATCTATTGGAATATTTTTAGTTCTTCCAAAAGCTTGACATAATTGATCATCAAGTTACTTTCAAAATTACCTTCGTATGGAATTCTTGGTATTGGTCTAGATTGGTTATGTTCGTACCTTAAACAACGATCTCAGAGAGTAAAAATACCTTACTGTAATAATGGATCATTATATGCACACCTTTCCGATTCTTTGCCAACTGCTTATGTCCCACAGGGATCAACTTTAGGCCATATTCTCTTCCTGCTGTATGTAAATGATATACCCTCGACTATTAGAAATGGAAGAACTGTTGTCTTTGCGGATGATACGAATATTCTTTGCAATAAATAAACCGTAAATAGTACAATATCAGATATTTCAATTTGGTTCCGTAATAACAAATTAATAGTAAATGAAAAGAAAACGCAGTTTTCCATTTCAAATAAACAATTCTGCACTCCACTGGAAATGAAAGGTGTGCCATTTACGGATGTTAATGTAACAAACTCTTTATGTTGTGTAGTCTCGCAGGCCAAGACAGACATGACAGGAAAGTTAACAGATGAGTAGCATATGTAAAAGATGTCACACCTGAAGAAAGAGTACCACAGTAGATACGACTGTATCCCTGTGGGGAATCGAGTAGGACATAGGGTGCATAGGTCATGAAATTGAGAGAAGGATTGAGATAGGACGTCGTGGGACACTCTCTCGTTTATCCGTTTCAGCTTTTAATCCTAAAAGTAGACACGTGAAAACGAGTGTGCTACAGCCGGCATAGCTTTCCACATCGTTGAAAAACGCCAGCCTCCCCGCCCGCCCGCTACTACAAGACGTTATCCCCTTAGGAGGAAATAATTGACATGCTAATTTGAATTTGTAATATTTTATATAGAATTTTTTATTGCTTTTTTGAAATCTTCAGTAATATATAAATGTACTATACATTTATAATTTTGTTGCAGCAGGTTTGTGACCACAATGTAATCATGATTAATCAATCAATTAATCAATGAAAGTTTTGCGTTTATTTTTATTTTTTTCTTCTGTAGTACATGTTCAATTTGTACCCCTTCTTGCACATGTTTGACATTGTTATTTATTTTTGTAGTGGCATGGTTTACATTTGATCCAAGTCTGGGACCTTCAGAGCTCCATTTCTCAGAAGACAATTGTACTGTGGTGTGTGAAGGTTATGAGCACCGTGTTGCCCTTGGAAGTGTAGGTTTTTCGCGTGGAATACATTACTGGGAATTCTCTATAAATCGCTATGATTCTGATACAGATCCCAGTTTTGGGATTGCTCGAATTGATGTGGCAAAGGATCAGATGTTAGGTAAGTAAAAAGCTTGTGACATAATATTAATAATGTTAACACTGTAGAATATTTACTTTAGTTCTTGTATCGTGTTTTAGTTAATAGGGCTTGTACAAGTATAATTTTATTCTTACTCTTTGGTGATCTCGAGAATGATAAATAAGACTCGACAACAGTTAGAACTATAAAAACTGGTTTATAATGTGTAGAATAATACTCTATTTTACTTTGGTAAAAAGTGCCCCCGCGTGAAATCAAAAAGAAAATCTTTACCAAGGATTGTGACCACAAAAAAACATATTTTTATGGACGTTGTAGATTCCTACCTTCTCACATGCTTCGTAATAACGAAAAACGTGTTTTCGTATATTGTATTGAAATGTAAATGCAATATTTTTGCATATGCAATTGAAATTGTATGAATGTCCATGGAAAATAATGATTTTATATGTGAAGTTTACTCAATTTTTCAAAAATATTTTTTAAAGTTTTATTTGTCAGGAAATTCAAACTTTTAAGTGGATTTTAAAACTTTGGAATATTTTAAAGAACGCTTTTATTCCTCTGGGTGCATGAGAAAATTCTCGAATTTTGCTCTAAAAATCACCTATCGTCTAGCATTATTTCAGAATTTTATCATTGATGCGCCATGTTTAAAAAGATTAAAATACATTTTTTCCCCAGTTTGCGTATTTTCATTTATATACAACCGTATAGAGCTATGTAATCACAATATTATTTTGTTTTCTTGCGACAATATTTGCTATATTAAAAGGCTAATTCATTAAATAATTTGGTCAATATTTTGACTGTTTGATATAAACGCATCAGATGGAGAACAATTTATTATTACAACATTACATTATAAGAAGTTATTGTTTAATTACTTCAGATTGAAAAAAGTATCAATTATAGAGAATTTATGCGAATTTAAGAATTTTAGATATAGTGGTGTGTATTAACAAAATAAATAACTGATAAAGAGATGTTCTGTATATAACGGTCATATTATTGACAACAGTTATTTCTGCAACAAATCCTCTAAATATCATATCAATGTTGAATCAGATTGTGTTGATTTTGGTGAAATGACGAGGTTGGACATTTCAGGACGTATTCTAGAAATAATTCCTTCCCTATTACAATTACAAATAATACAGTAACACACAAATACAAATAATACAGTGACACACACAAATACAAATAATGTAATAGCATATGATACAAAATAATTGAGACCACAGTACATACAAATATATGCAAAACGACTTGTATCGTGACAGATATGATAATTTCTCGATACATTGCACTATATGATGAATTCATGATTCTATGCGTTCCATCCATAATGGTTTTTACTTACAATTGTTGCAACTATCGAGGGAATACTATTTCTGATTACTAAGCTACAGATTTTTGTCTAGTTGCCAATTTTTTTTCTTCAGTGGAAAACACAATATTTTAGTTTACTTATTCATTTTGAGGCTTTAGGAGTATCATATGCGAATTTTACAGTGCTTGTAAATGCCTATTTTGTGTTTAAATGCCTAAATGTTGCCCATTCTGGTTGACTTCTTGAATTTATTTATTTATTTATTTAGATGAACTTCAAAGGATTATTTCTGACAATACGTGGATAGCGTGTCTATTTTGTGTTAAAGATCTATCACATCTGTTGCCAGGATAATCAAATTTTCAGCAAAAACGTTAGCTTTTAACTCTTGTCAGTGAAACCTTCATCCACGAAGAAATTGGTAATGTCTCAAAGCAAATGAATAAATAGTGTGAGCTCAACGAAGCGCCTTGTGTTACTTCTATCGAATTGGTAATAGAATGGGTGTTGATTGTTACTTTCATTGTTCTCCATAAAGATTCTGAAGAATCTTCATAATATTGCTGCTTACCCTGGATTCATGTAATGATTCACATAGAATATTGTGGATCATGAAGTCATACTATGGCTTGTCTCTAGTTTTGTCTTGTACTTTAATATGGGATGTCATTTGTAAGTACTTCACTGTTGTTTTTTTTACAGCGTTGACGATTTCACAGTTCAGTGCGTCAATAGTGTCCAAGTAGGGTGTTGGTGTGTCAATAAATTCTGGTAGTAATCATTCTCTTTTTCAAGGCACCGTTTGAGTTTCAGTTCTGCTTCAAAATTGCGCGCTCACTCGGTGTCGATGTCAATATATATGGCTGCGCTTGCGCTTTTGTTTTAATTATCATTATCTCATGTTTGTTCTCCATGTTTTCAAGTTTGGCGATGTGATACTTTTTTCTTTACTAGAGATGACTTCTAGAACTCTTGCTGTCACATGCGATTTTTCTTCGAAGAAATTTAACACTTCTAGTTTTGCATCGGTGCTGGAGGTCTGAAGTCCCCTGACAACATTTTCCCGTTTATCTTCTTTCTCTTCTTTTCTTTCTAAATTTTTTATCTTGTCAAATAACTTTTGTTCCAAGATTCTGCGTTCGCCTCAATGTCTTGTTGAACAATTTCCTTTACTGATTGTTTGAAGTATTGTTTAAACTCTCGGAATTCATTTCAGAGAGACATTAGTGCAACGTGAATGAATCGGCTATTTCATGAGCGTTCCCTGTTGTTTTAGAAGAAGATTTACTTGTGGTCTGCTTGTAACTTAGAAGTTTAATTTTATTTGGCTGTAGAGGCGCATTCTCTCAGTCCTCAGTTGAAATTGTTAAACGTTAGATTCCGCCGGGCTCAATAGATATCACAAACAGAATTCAATACAGTTGACGGGTACATCTTATCAAAATTGATTTATGTAATCTTCCGGCAAATTATTTCCTCATATTATCAGCTACGTAATACGACGTGTTTTGTTATCTGGCTTATCTGAACTGCTTTTTGAAACTTATCAGAACACTGGCTCGATTGAATATTGGCATCTATCAAAATTTCACACAGTCAAACATAGAATTATTCATAACAAAATGTATTCTAAGTTTTGTACACTACTGCTAAGAAATTCTACAACTGACCATTGAAGTAATAAGAATTGTTGATAGTTAAATAAATGTTAATTAAGTAAATAGTACAAATCAGATTTGGAAACAACCCATTCTAATACAATGAACAAATCGTAAATGACAGAAATTATATATTGTATTTACGGAATTTAAGTCCGCTTAGGCCTGGGCTCCTGTCCCAAACGTTAGCAATGTCTGCTAATTGTACACGAGTTGTCAACTTCTCAATTCTGAGAAATTCGCCGCTGCTACTAACAATGTCTCTGATGCGAGAGAGTTTCTTAATTGCCTTTCTGTGTCCATATTTATTTACAAAAGATGGGGAATGATCCTTGTTTATTAAATTCCGTGGTGGTAGCGGATATCTTGTGGTAATCCATGGTATTGTAAAGGAAATAATCTCACACCAAAGTTTTTAATCATTTTATAACCCCATTTTCCAGAAAACAGTAACTTTCGGGAAAACAGTTTTCCCATCCTCAGTGGATCTTGCTTTCAAAGCAACGGATCTCCATGAATGTTCACAATGTGTCAAAGGCAACATGGAGGTTACTTAGCTGCAACCTTCCATTTGCCTTTGACTCACATGTGAACATTCATGGAGATCCACGTGCTTGAGCAGATCCACTGAGGAGGGAAAACTGTTTCCCGAAAGTAACTCTGGAAAATTTGTTAATAAAATTATTAAAACTTTTGGAGATATTTCCTTTACAATACCTTGTTCATTATTTCTATTTGTATGTTAATGCATATCATTAACCAAAAATTATTAGTTAATTATCATTATATTAAATATAATTAAATATTATTATCACTGCGAAAATGAAGTGCGTGTTCTTAGTAAATCGCAGTATGCTGATTGCGAAAATGCAAATCAGAAATGGTCCATCAACTACCAGTTTCTGAAAGATACCCACAAATACACTTTCAAGAAACTTGAAACGATCGGTTAACTGTAAAGGAGAATCTGATACTTGATTAATAACAGATCGTTGTACAAAATTGTTTTGTATTGGTTATTTATACGATTAATGTGTATACAAAACCTGAATGAAAACAGCACGCGAAAAGTTGAATAAAAGCTTGAAAATGTACTTACTTAGAACTTTCTCAGAAACTTCTGTTTGTGGGTGGATGTAAGAACTTTCTTAAGTAGTGTCCAGCGTCAAAAAGTTTAGTGACCATCTTCCCCTGTATCGGTATTTCTACGGCAGCGATATTCGTGGTGACATCTTCTCGCCATATTCGCCATTTCACACTTTCCAAGATTAGTTGGAAGAATTCCAAATCAGGAATAAAGGAAATGTAATTTCAGAGACATGTTGCATCCCATTAGCCTTGTAAACCAGTCCTGCATGTGTTTCGTCGGTCCCAAAAACTGTGTGACATTACATTTTCACGAAATTGTCGCATACATCTTTCAATCCAAGCCAAGCTGACTTCTCAAGTAGTTATCTTCAGCCAAAACTGTTCAAAACAGAGTAAATAATGTTTCATGAAGTCACGTATCTTAAGAGCCCAATGAAAATTACTTCTTATTAATTTATAATCTCCCTTATTAGTACTGATCGTCTAGTGGAAATATATCAGATCTAGTAAAAATCTGAACCCCATGTCTCTCAATCCTGTGTCCGGATGAAGTTCACAAATTCTTCATAATGCCTAATTTCAAGATCATGTAGTGGTGGTGAACTGTACGATGTCAAACAAGCCTGAATCATAGCGTGCGGACCCAATTTTTATGTTGCCAAATCGCGAGGCATTCTGCCTGCCATATAGACATGAGTTGACATCATGTCTTCACTGGATATTGGCCAAGTTTTCACTAACCCTCGACCAAGCCGTATTCCTTGCTCCTACCTTATCCCCAGCGCTGCACGCAAGAAAACAACATATTGTGCTCGTACAATCACACTAGTCTGCTATTACACCTAAATACAACCACCGAGTGTCCATCCATACTCGAGAGCTATACACTCATCTGTGAGATCTTCCCATTATTTCGATTGAAAATAGCCAAAGTTGTC